AAGACAATAGGGCATTAAACATCCGTTGATTGATTAATGTACATTTATTAGTTTAGATTAGGTAGGAGGATTCTATCTAAACACCTTGCATATGCAGTATGCACTCTCTTCGACTATTTTAAGCCCATTTTTGTATGCACTTTCCTCACCATACTTCCATATAACCCTTCAAAATATAGCCTTTAACTCTCATCATCTTTAAAAAGCCAAAACCTCACCTAATTCCCACACACACGCATCCCATGGAGGAAAAGGGCCTTATCTACGACGTGAAGCTGTCGTCTGTCGGGCCGGGCAATGTCACGGGCCCAGACTCGATCTTTGAGCCCGGGAGCATGGGCCTGGCCATGAAGCTCCACTACTTGAGGGGCGTGTACTATTTGGAGAGACCCGCGTTCGAGGGGCTGAGCACGCTGGAGATCAAGGAGCCAATGTTCACGTGGCTCAATCAGTACCCGCCCACGTGCGGCCGGTTCAGGAGGGCCGAATCGGGCCGGCCCTATGTCAAGTGCAACGATTGTGGGGTCAGGTTTGTCGAGGCCAAGTGCGGGCTTACCATGGCCGAGTGGCTCGAGGCCCAAGATCTCACGGCCCGCGAGGCCCTGCTGCTCACTAACCATTCTATTGGGCCCGATCTCGCTTTTTCTCCCCTCATTTACGTACAAGTAGGTACCCCCAACTTTGCCTCAATTTACCTTTAATAAACACTAGTACAATACCCGTGTAAATACACGGGTATTGAATTAGGAAACAGATATAAAAATATTAATTTTTTTAAAATTAAAATAATTTAATTTTATATAAAATATTATTTTGGTTTTAATTAAATTGTCAAATTATATTTTTTAATCATACTAATTAAACACCCGTATATTAAATGAAAATGTCAAACTCATATTAATTTTTTTTACTTATATAGTATAAAATTATTGATATTATTTACTATTATTAAGTAATAAAATATATATCTTAAATAAATAGAAATAATATGGTGATATGTATATGTATAAGTGCAGAAATATGTTTGTTTAATATTAAGCAAAACAGATTAATTTTTTACTTAATTAGATTCCAAATACATCAAGTGTAGTATCCGTTGTGTTTCACAATTTTCTAACTTTATATGTAATTTTAGAATTTAGATAAATAATTATTTAGTTTTATTAGAATAAGAAACATTTATAATAACTAATGAATGAGTTAAATAAGAAAATGAAATGTAATGTATGGTAATATAGGAAAAAGAAATATAAAATAATTTATGGTAACTAATTGTAGAAGTAAAGAAGGAAAAAATCAATCATGGATTTAGTGTGATAAAAAATATTAATTTATATCCAAGCCTAATTCCAAAACATGGTTTTTTGTCAAATATGATTCTGAAGCGTGAGAGTTTGTCATGTAGGCCCGATTCTGAAATTATATATAGATGGATAAAAATTTGTTCGATTTTCTTAACGACATGCCTGATTGTATTTTATTTTAGTTGATACGGTTCTAGAAAATAATTTGTTTTTAAGAAAAGTTCAATGTTAAATAATAAAAGCACATATGTCTAAAAATTAAGCTAAATTAAAAAAAAACCAGCAACAGGACCAATAATAATAATTTCTATAATAATAATAATAATAATAATAAAGTCAAAATTATAGACATAAAGAGTGTGCTCTATTCTCCAGTTTTATATGGTGCCAAGCTTTATATGAGTATTATTTAGATGTTTGTTACTTTTAATGGATATATATCTTTAATTTTAAGTAGCGTTGGACCAAACAGGTAATTTTTCATTTAAATATGCTAGCTAGTTATTTTATGGAGGTGGTTAGTATCAGTACACGAATTGCCTTTAATAAAGCCAGCTAACATAGAAAATGAATATAAATGGCATGATATGGACTCAAGGGTGCAGACTTTAAGGACAACGGGCACAAATTACGATCAACAGTTAACTTTAAAGGTCAACGATCAAATCAATATTTAATTAATTAAAAAAATAAAAATATTAAATCTTAACTAGATAAATTGTTCTTATTCAATATCTATGGGTGAGTCTCACATTCTCATTTTAAGAATAGGGCCACATTTGATGCCCTTTCGATCCAGCACCTGGAGTTCTACAATATTGTGCAATCCCTATATAGTATATACGTATAATATTTGTTTTTTATGTATTTTGGGAGGGAAAAAAATAAAGAAATTGAGTATAGCATAAGCATAAATTTCACAACTTAAAAAATAACATAAAAGTTTAAATAATTCTAGATATTTCCTTTTTATTTTTCATATTGAAATAACTTTGCATAATAATTAATAACATGTATTTTTATATATCAATATAATAATACATTTATATACTATATCAAAAAAAATTGTACAGGCCCCTGTGTATGGACTACTTGCGTTTAATGTGTAATTAAGTATTTTTAATGGAAATAACTTGTAGACCCTTGTGAAAATAGATACGTCCGTCCGAATTTAAACAGTCAAATTAACCGCCGTTTAATTAAATTGAAGCGGCAACTATAAATGTTATGGACCCAACACCACCTACACATTGTGCTGACACATTGAATTTTGCAAGTCTTAAACTTCATATGCAGTTCGGTATTTCATAATATCAATAAATATGCACCATCCAAATTTATGTAAATGACAGCTACGCTTAATTTCCACTTTCTGTAGCTTATTATGTTGTTTTCTGTTTCTTTTTGCATTTATTTCTTTATCATTTGATTAAATATAATTCATAATAAACAATCTATATATATCTATATAATTACTAGCTAATCCCATTTAATAAAATACTAGTACAGAGCCCGTGCGATGCACGGGGTGCACAAGTTTAAGGCTATTTATCCAGACTTATAATTATATACATGAATAAAGAAAAATGTACAAGATATATATAGTACGTGACCCGTGCGAAGCACGAGATATATTTATTTGGAAAATATTATATTATAAGATGCAATATTCAGTAAAAGTTTATAATACGCAAGAAAATTGTACAATGTTCAAATACCCGTACGAAACACGAGATATATTTATTTGTTTAATGATTTGATAATATAAACAAATCTATACTTAACTTTGACAAATAAAACAAATAAATACTTTAGTAAGTATTTAATGTATATACTAAATAGGAATATGTTTGGTATAATCAAATACCAAATATAATCAAATAAGTCAAAGTGTACATTTTTATTTAGTATTTGATTTTTTTATTATTAAAATCTTTTTATTATACTTATCTTTCTAAAATAAAACAAATAAATAAATCAATTAAATAAATAACATATTATGATACCAAAATAGTAATGACATTTAATGCAGTTGACTTTTCTAGATAGTAAATGTAGTAAATAGAATCTCCTTTTATATAAGTATAGATTGTATAATACGGAAATAGTAATGCAATAAATGTTGTTGACTTTTCTTTATATTAAATCTGGTAAATGGTATACCTTTTAATATAAGTATAGATTTAATAAAAATATTTTCACTTTCCCTCCAACATGAGTTACACTTTTTTTTTTAATTATTCACTAATCCCACATTTAAGAAGGTTTCTTTTAGTTAAACCTAATTAGTTAATGTCTAAATTAAAAAGGTTTCTTTTAATTAATCTCACATTTATGTTTCTTATTCTCATTTATATATATAAATGTGACAGTCATTATTTTTGTGCAGAAACTACATATTATTATTTTTTTGTTTCATTATGAATTGAATAAGCAATAAAATATTAATAAATGTACTAAATACAAACATTATAATACAAATTATGTTACATTACAATATAAAAAATGAAATTATTTTTTTTGTAATTTAATTTCCAGCCATACTCCATCACACATATAGCTGCAAAATGATAAGAAAAATTAGTTTTATAATTAAAATTTAAAATTTAGCTCCCCCAAATGGTAAAACCTTATAAATTAGTAGTATAGATATATTTAAATGACATATAATTTATAAACTTAGACTATACACATAATAAGATGAATTAAAAAAAATTAATGAATTAAATAAATAAAATATTACTATAGCACGGTCTATATAATTATTATAGCAAAGTCTATATTGTCAATATTATCATTTAAAAAGTTCATTGAAAAAGCATATGTATAAAAAAAATCCATATGATCATAATTAATAGTGCAAAATTAACTATCTTTGACTTTCCATTTGGTAGTAATAATAAAATATTTTATATTACTACTATTCAATAAAATGCATGATTTATGCAGATTTGATTATCGCAATCAACATTCTGTTTTATAAATTAAAAAGTGTGCTGAATAAATTGTCTCATATTTTTCATTAAAAAAAACTGTTGGCCGTGAAAATAAAATATTATTTCACAATTATAAATATAAATATGATTAATTTTCATTAAATAATTCCTCTTTAAGAAAAAAAATTTGGCGGGACAAATTTCTGCATGATTATATCATCAAAACATATCCAAAACATCAATATTTTATTGCATTAAAAACCATACTTTCAGCAACAAAAAAGTCATATTAAACGGAAATTGGCAAAGTAAAAGAATGAGGATTGACAAGGCATTGTATGTAATGACAGATTCTTGCATAATATGGAAATACCAAACATAATTAATAATCAACAAAAAAAAGTCAAATCTATATGAAAAAATCAAAATTAAAAAACACAGCAAATTATGTGGAACATTATTGGACACTATACAATATAGATAAAAAAATAATTTGATTTCCCTATCATTATCAACACATTCAACTTTTACCAAGACATCTGCCTTTATATTAAAATCGATTTTTTGCGTAAAAGTTTTAAAAATAAAAATTCCTACAAATTCTTTTAAACATTAAACAAGAAATTCCTAATATGCGATAAATATATCTAAACAGATTTGTTCTAAACTTACCTAATACTTCCAAATTTTGAACATAATACTAAAAACCTTGAAAAATTTCGGCAAAAGACTTTGAACAACTTCAAAAAGCGATTTTGAACAAGTGTTAGCAAAGCTTCACTTACTGATATGATGAAAAAGACGAGAAAGAATTGAACTATTTAGTGTTCAAAATCTGAATAAAATACATAAAAGTTACATATGTATGTTATAAACAGATTGTTATAAACTTACCTATATATTTGTTAGTAGAGCTAAACAGATCTGTTAGAAACTTACCTATTTTTTCAAACCCTAAACAAAATACATAAAAGTTTGAAAAAGTTCGACCAATTTCATGTTCTCTTCGAAAAACGATTTCGAAAATCATCTAAATAATTTCGAATTATGTATAAAATATGATATATCTTTGAAACTTATTCATAAAGAATTTCGACAAATGACACAGATCATTGAAAATAATAAAAAATAAAAACTACGTTTAACAAAAAATATTTCAGCTCTTCATAGATTTGTAATATTATCGCCAGATTTTGACCGACCTGTTAAGATTTAGCAACACAGATTAAGAAATCAGAACGAGTATTTATTTTTCGATCACTACTGTTGGCCACAAAAACAACATTTCTCATATGGTTTTTTTTTTAAGCCTGGGAGAAAATCTCCAGTAAAACATTTGTTATTGAATCTCGCCGAGTTTGTCGTAAGATCGGGTTAAGAATTAGGGTTTCAGACAGAGTGAATAACGAGAGAAGCGCCGACATCAAACAAAAAAAATGGCTTAGATCACTCTCAAGGAGTTCATCTCTATTTGTAGACATGTTATCATTGACCTGTTTTATATTTGATTTTAGCTACCCTAAAAAATTAAGTGAACTTCTAATTTGGGTTTTTTTATCATTCAATCAATATATTTCTTTATGGCCCAAAATTGTCATTTTGTTTAAATGTCTTAAGTATTTGGCACATATCATTATTTATCAACCAAATACAATTATTTATTTTGTAATATTTTGCTGGTATTTTTTTAGTTTTTTTTTTTTTAAATTTCCTATATGATCTATAGTACAAAATACAATATTTATTTAAAAAAATAAAACCATTATATGTCTTAATTTGAAGATAGTGATTAGAATGTGATGGAAATTCTGTTGATAGAAAAACCACAAACGTTGTATATAAAAAATTGTTTAACAATATTTAGTTATTCTTTCTTAGAACATTTTTCCAATGATTATATTATGATTTTTACTATTGTTTATATCTTTTTATTATTTTTTGTTCTATTATATTGCATTCCATGCAAATGCACGGGTTAAAAACTAGTTTTATTCGAGACGATATACGATGTTCATATCATTTATATTATCTCTTACCATTACAAAAAGAATGCCATAGTCCAACGGAAAGTTCTACGATAATTTATTCTAATAAAAATTTCAATGGATATTTCAATGGTATAATTTTTTTTTTTAATCAACACCCCAGTAGCGTGGGGGGTTAAGGCAGAATCCCCAACCTGTATATAAAATGCCCTAAATGGGTCGAAAAGTCACAAAACTACAAGTCCAATGTCTGATATACGTCCAGTCAAACGAAAAAACAAAAAACAACAAAGAAAAGAAAAAATACAGATAAAAGCTGACAACTGCAGTGGGAAATATGAGAATAACAGATCATGTTCCGGGGAGAAATCCTAGCTAGATAGTCCGCATTACAGTGTGGCGGTTGCGCCAAAGATATGTCCGGCTACACAAATCTGAATGAAGGGTATCCCATCTGGTCTATCCGTATGAGGGTGCGGAGGTGGATAGGAATGTCGTCAGGATAAAGAATGCGTCTGTGGAGGTGGAGGACCCGATGCCAGCGAGGAAGTCAGCTGACCGGTTTCCCTCGCGGAAGATGTGCGAGATCCGGGAGCGAATCGACTGGAGAGTGACTCTGATGCGCATGAGAGGATGCTGGATCTGCCATGTGCCCTGATGTCCAGATGACAGAAATTTCAATGGTATAGCTTCTGTTAAAATAATTCCAACGAAATTCCAACGGAAGTATTCTGTTGGAATAAGTTTTTCATTGGAATTTAGATGAAATTTTATCATTCCAACAATCATTATTCCAACAGTTTTTATCGTTGTATATACGATTTCCGTTGGAATTTTTATTTTCACCCATATTCCAATCGTTGAAAAATATACCGTTAGAATCGTCAAAATCTAACAGAAATTCCAATGAAAAACTCATTCCAACGGAATATTTTTATTAGAATTTTCGTTGGAATCCATTGAAAAATTCTAACAGAAATAATAGCATTGGAATATCCATTGAAATAGCCGTTGGAATTCCATTGTAATATTTTGCCGTTGGAATATAGTGTACATGGAATATATCAGGTGCATTATGTATTGATTTTATATATAGATATAATTGCAGGCTATCAAGTTAATGCAAATACCAAATTTTCCTACCAGTCTTTTCAATTAATTATGATAAAATCGTTATATTTTTTAATAATTCAATGTAATCACATATTATTTGTTATTCTATCATACAATAGTTATTACTATTTTAACTAATTATAATTTACACTAAATGGTATATGTAAGTTACAAAATCATCAAATATTATATTACATTTTTCAAGCTATTTATTCTAAGAGAGTAATATTATTCTAATTATATATATTTAATCGCATGAAAAAAATCCTTAAATATAAATTTCTACAATAATAATAATAACAAATATTTTTAATATTTATCTAGGTAACTAATTAATTATGATCCCTCGAAGTAAAAAAATATTTATGCAATTAATACAGAGATTTATGTATAGTTAAATAATATAAATTTATACTGTTGATTTACTAAACATCAAATTTAAAATATGTGATAAATCTATTATCTGTTTTTTGTGAGTTTACTATTAAATATACACATAATTTATAATATTTTAAAACTTATATATGTGCATATACACATGATCAACTACTAGTATAAGTTGAATGTGCGACTCTTCCATTAAGATGCTTGCATGTAACGAAATTTATGGATTTTCTAATTTAGTATAATTATTCACTTAATTTTCAAATAAATGATATTTAAGTATATAAAATTTACTACTGGATCTCATTTTTTGTGGCATTCATTGTAATGACATACGAACCTTAAATGACATGTCATACAAAAAGAATGACGGAGCTATTAGATCGTTTTATAGCAGTCTTTTTAATAAATCACTACAAGAAATTTAAAAATTTGCCAACATAAATTACCACCGAAAATACTTTCGTTGGAGATCACCAACAGATTAATAATGCATTATATATATAATCTTTTTATATGAATTACCAACATAATACTAACGAAATATTGCAATGGAAAACTATGTCTTTCTAATATGTTATAAAATGCCAAGAGATTCGACTTGTTAGACTTGTAAGAATTTACTTACAACTGTTGATTGATATGCAACAGATACAACTAAAATTCATATGCCAACGAAAAAAAATCTATTGAAAAATAGTGACAGATGTCTTCATTAGTAAACACCAATGCATTTTCAAAGAATTTGTTCATAGTTGAATTACCAACGAAATATTATGTTGTTATTTCCCAATAGACATCTTCCGTTGGTAAAAACGTTTGTAGTTTTTCAGTCGAGTACGTAACGAATCTCGACCTCGGGTTGTATCTCTCGTGAAAGGTTGTTCGGAGTTTTGTTCACTTACTAATCGTCAAAGCACAAAAATCGAAAACAATGTTCTAAACATTCTAGCAGGATTGAAGGATTGATTTTAAGCTAATTTAATCTATGAAATTAAAGGCAATTAACCAAAGGCATGAACGTTAACTAAAGATTAGAACTTATCGAACCCGGAGTCTTCAAAACTTGAGAAAAGACGAAAACAAAGAGAAACGAGCTAAATCTAACGCAACCAGAGGCTAGAGTCAAACATTCAATTACGAAATAACCGGCCAACTAATCACACTAGACAAACAAAACAAAAGAAAAGATAAAAACTTTAACAAAACTTGAGTCAAGTATTCCGACAAAGACGCTATTTTCACCTCAAACCACGTAGTAAGCAAAAATAGAGCAAATGCGAGATAATTAAATATAATTAAATAATATCAATATTATTAATATAATTAAATAATATCAACTAATCATTCTTAAACATCACATCAACTTTAATCCACTATTCATTCACTCACATAATATTAATTAACCATCATCTCTCTCATACTTTTACATCAAATTAACTTTAATTATTTTATTTTACATATTATTTTAATATATCCACTAACAACTAACCATACCACCTTTTTAAAAATTAATCAAATCAAACTAAAAATCTAATCTAATCAAAAAAATTTATATCCAAGAGTATGAACCGCAAACTAAGAGCATCATCAATGTATAATGTGAGTGTAATAACAAATTTTATTTCGTGTCCAATTGGGCGTGTCAAATTTGTAACAATAAATTTTATGAAAAATATAAGGGGGTGATTGGATATGAATTCAAATAATATTTAAATTAAAATAATTAAAATTGATTTGATGTAAAAGTAGGAGAAAATGATTGGAAGTGATAGTTAGTTAAAATTATGTGAGTGAATGAATAGTGAATTAAAGTTGATGTGATGTGTAATAATGATTGGTTGATATTATTTAATTATATTGATAATATTGGAGATAGTAGAGTTGAGTTGATTGAGTTAAATTTGAGTTTTGAGTGAGATATTTATTTAAGATTGAGTTAAATTTGAGTTTTAAGTGAGATATTTACTGTTGAAATTATATACAATCATGCCCTAAAACTTTTGTACAAAATAAGATGTGACTCCTATGCATCAACAAAATACAACTGACAAAATAGATGTCCTGCTGCTTGCTGTGTGTATCAACTCTGAGTATGATGTTGTGGATTATAATTAGAAACAATTGACAAAATAGATGTCCTGCTGCTTGCTGTGTGTATCAACTCTGAGTATGATGTTGTGGATTATAATTAGAAACAATTGTACGATTAATTAATAAAAATTAATATAAAAGAAGTTATATCAAAATTTATCTAGTCAAAAAAATATAACTTGCAATATTTTTATAATATACAAAATTCATATATTATTAAAATACTATTTCTACTAATACATATTTTTTTTTTTCGGTACATTGAAGGAGGCCAAAGGCGTGGAAAGATAAATTAAGCTAGAACTTAGCAGGAATACGAGACTAGTTTTGGAAAACACAATTTCCCAATTTTTCTTTTTTTTTTTTTTNGCCAAAAGCCAAAAAAACATATACAAAGTTCAAGCACAATTTCAGTAGGGCCAATGTTGAAACTTAATCTGATTGATGCTGCGTATTGCTATTTTATTTACTCGGTGTTTGTTTAACTAATATTGTTTCTTACAGTTAACTAAATTCAAATGTGGAGCAGCAGCCGTGGGCCTGAGCTGGGCACACGTCCTAGGAGATGCGTTCTCGGCTGCAGAATACATGAACTCCTTGGGCCGCGTTGCCACCGGGTGTGGCCCATACCGGCCCATTAACCTCAGCCACACTACACCAAAGCCCGTAAACTCCAATGGGCGGCCCAAAGTAGTGGCGGAACCTCTTTCCATCAAACGGGTTGACCCAGTTGGAGATAATTGGACACACTCATCTAGCATCAAGATGGAAACATTCTCTTTCAATCTCACACACATGCAATTGAGCCAAATTCAAACAAAATTGGGAGGCGAATTCTCGTCTTTCGAGGCAATTTCCGCAATCATGTGGAAATGCATTGCCAAGACTCGAGTCGAGGATTCTGAACCAAAAATCGTGACTATATGCAAAAGGGAAGAAAACAATAAGATGTCACATTTGAGAAATGGTCAAGTTGTGAGTGTGGTGAGTGTCGATTCCTCAACAGCGCTGGCCGACCCTAGCAAGCTAGCATCATTAGTGAAAAACGAGGCATTTGACGAGACTTATATGATTGAAGAAGCTATGGAGAGAGAAGAAGGATTGGCGGATTTTATCGTGTATGGGGCCAATTTGACCTTTGTGAACCTTGAAGAAGCCGGGTTTTACGATTTTGAGTATAGGGGAGAAAAGGCAGTTAGGGTTAGCTATAAAATGGATGGTGTTGGTGATAAAGGGTTGGTTATGGTGCTTCCGGGGCCGAAAGGTGAAGGAAGGTCCATTGTGGTTGTTGTGCCGGAGAATGAGATCAATGGGCTCAAATTGGAGTTGGAAAAGGAGGGATTTGGGGCATGATTTTATTACATGCATGTTATGTTTTCATGAATAAAAGTGGACAAGCTAAATAAAAAAAATGTACTTTGTTTGATGGGTATAATTAGTATGTGTCCAACTCTACAAATTTTTCGNAAGAACTATGGTCAAAAGAGTGGCGTGTGAATGTGGACTCTATTTCTAGCACGATAATGAGTAATTGTCTTCTTGTGTAAGAACATTTCGTATCAAAATATATGTTAATGATCGCTTTTTACATTTCTTTATTTTTTTTTTCTTGCTTTTTTATGTCCTTTTCTTAAATTTCTGTTTAAATTCAAAGCATTTCATAAATTGAAAAATTAAGGAAGTTGCATAGTACTTAATCCTCCCACTCTAGCGAGGACTAAGCATAAGTGGATCCATAACATCTATTTGGATGGTAAGTCCACGTGGGAATGGGAAATTAACAAGGACGACTCGCCCCGCTTCAAATATTTTTTCGAGATCCGATGTTTCTTGGTAGAGAAGGCGGGTAGCAAGCAAGCCGCAAAACCCCTACTTCATCATTGGAGTTCGCGAGATAAGCAAGATGGATCGAGAAGTTGCTATGATTTCTTAAGGCCCCATCATACATTGAAGCCTTGGACGGGGTTTGTTTTGGGGCCTTGCATTACCCCCAAGCACTCCTTCATTCTTTGGCTAGGAGTGCTCAATCGTCTCCGTACGAAGGATCAGTTAGAGTTCCTGGGGTAGACCCAACTTGTTCCCTTTGTGGTGGAGTGGATGAATCATCGGGTCACCTTTTCTTCGAATGCCCATTGAGTTTGGAGATATGGGGAGAGATTCGTGATTGGATAGCCTATGTCATAGGTCATTGACTCTCAAAGTGGCCCTTAAATGGACTAAGAAGGAGGCTAGAGGGGCTAATTGGCAAACCAAGATGAAGAAAGCAGCGCTCCCGGCAACCGTGTTAAACGACTCGTTAATTTGTCGTTCATGTTTATTCTCTTGTTATGAAATGTTATTGAGGATAAATCTCTGAACATGTAGGTCATTCGAGTCCCTTAACCGAGTGATCTCTTTCTCGATAATTGTGTGTCAAACCAAAACGATTATCCCCGACTCCCTATCTCTTTTATGATCGTCGATTCGTATTTTTGAGTTGATTTGGGAAATTGCGTTTCTGGAATTTCTTGCTGATAATTAAAACCAATCTTTGAAATAGAGTGTTTAGGAATTCTTTTCTCTTTTTTGTGTTTGAATATACACGCATAATATTCCGGCTAACCTTCATCGAGAGATCTACTCGGGAGACGAATCATTTGATTCGGTACTCGGTAAAAAATATAATTGGCTCAACAAGAACAGAATGATACTCGCTCCCACAATTGATGTCGTTGAGTCCATTCACGAGTAGATGAACTCATTTGAAGGACAGAACGATACTCACTCCCAAATTTGATGTTGTTGAGTCCGTTAACGAGTATATGAGCTTATTGAACTCCTATGAGTGATAAACTTATTTGAGTTTGGACACCGCTTACAAGTCAGATGTTGGATATGACTCTTTTCATTATCTTCTTACTCATGAATTCCTGAATGAGATTACTGCTCAATATTCCGAATCATAAATTGTACTTCAAGGTTAGCACTCCAGTGATGTTATTGAGGAACATTGATTGTTCCATGCGGTTGTGCGACGATACACGTTTGGTTATTACTACGTTTAGCAGTTATTTCCTCGAATGCATAATTTTGATTAATTCTAAAGCTGCTGACGAGGTTCTTATTTCTATGCTTACAATCATACCATCCGATTTGAGGGCACTATTCGAATTTCAGCAATACAATTTCCTGTCATGGTATTCTATGTTATGACGATATTCTATGTTATGACGATCAGTAGGAGCCATTGTCAGTCTCTGTCGCACATGGGCTTAGTATTGAAGAACCATGTTTTCACTCGTGGGCAGTTATGCGTGGCTCTTTCTAGTATCACAAATCGAAAAAGTTTGAAGATAATGAATTGTGGCGATGAGAATTCTTATAATAGGAAAACCATGAATATTATATATAAAGAAAAAACCATGAATATTATATATAAAGAAATTTTTAATGATATATACTTTTTCTTAATTCTTTTTTTATTAATTAAATTATGATTGTTATTTATGTTTAAACTAGTACGTAGCCCGTGCGATGCACAGAACAGAAGTATTAAATGAGTCATTTTCAAAGAGCTTGTCCGTTAAGTAGCTCGTGCGATTCACGGGAGATATTAAATTGGTGGACCATAGGACTTGTCCGTTCGGGCCTAAAAAATAATAGAGTTTGATCATCTATCTTTTTACATCTTTTCATCAACGTCATTTTTTTTGTCGGAACATTAAACCTGAGTCTGGTAGCGCTAGCCCGTAAATTAATTAATATATTATCTCGCTCACATGTTTATAATAATATAAATTTTATTCATTATATATATTTATTCCTTGATATAAGAAAAATAACAATTTTACGTAATCTTGTTCCTCGTATAATACTCATATTAATTTATTATAAAATTTATTGTAATATAATGTCATTATTATTATTTATATAAGTTATAGATGTAGTCTTCTTCTTCTTTTTGTTTTATGTAATTAAAATATTTAATGTATGTTCATATTATTTATTAATGTAATTAATTTAAATTATGTAAATAAATTTAAAGTAAAACATTTTGTACAAATATTTTACAAAATATACACAAATGTTTTTTTAAAATTCAATTTTTTTATAATAAATAAACATCTTTGAAATTCTATGCAATTATTAAACAAAATTCGAAATCATAATTGAAAACTATGCAATTATTAATTCCGTCTGATGTTATGGAAACAAATCATTCGGAAATGTACCAAAATGATAAGGATTTTTAAAATTTAAATTTTAAATAAGACATGCTTTTACTTGAATTCTATGCAATTATTATTTTGTCCGATTTTATGGCAAACAATTCATTCAGGATTTTAATGTAACAAAATGAGAAAAAATTTTAATATTTAAATTTAAATTTGCAATGAGACATGTTTTTACTTGAAGTCTATCTGTCCGATTTTATTGCAAAACACATCAATTAAGGATGATTAATGCAAACTGGTTTTTTAGCAACAAAATAATACTAATACAATTGAAAAAAATGATGGAAATAGAATACATTAATTACCTTTGACTTTTTTGTCTACTATTTCTAGTAAATAGGAAGACTTTTTATATAAGTATAGATTTTATTATNTTGTGATTTGCCCATTTTGCTTCACCGTAGTCCAATTCAGGTCCAACTCTTGTGTTTTCCCTTGTCGAATTTCAAGCTCAGTTCATACACACACACACACACACACCTGTCCAATTAGTCTCGATCCGGGCAGGCTCTCTTGATTCCTTGATCTTCCTCGATTTGAAAGCGTATGTAATCGAGCAACACAATCTATTGTAGTTGTTGATTTTACTGGTAAGAAAAAAAAAAGAAAGAAATGAGGCCTCAGCCAAGAAGGAAAAAATGGAGCGAGGCGGAGGAAAGGAGCTTAATCGACAAATACGGCGAGATGTCCCGCGACGGCACCTTATCGAAGATGAAAACCCGCGAGAAGAAATACAAACCCATCGCCGCCCACGTGAACGCCGGCCACCATGCCCGGGACCCTTCCTCCTACCCTTGGCAATGGACCTGGAAAGACGTCTCCACCAAAATCCAGAACATGAGGCACCAATACTCCCTTGTGAAGCAGAAGATCAAAAAACCGGGTGATTCCGAGGAGTTCGACTGGCCGGACGGCACCACCCACTGGTCCAACTTCATCCTCTACAAGGACGTGTTTGGCGATGTCCCCCTCGTCTTTCCTTCCGAGCCCGAGCCCGAGCCCTATAACAACGAGCTCTTGGTTGGGTCAGATTTCGTTGATTTGGAATTTGATTACGAGGAGGAGTATAATAATAATAATAATAATAAAGATAAAAACGAGGAGTTTACTGAGGAGCCAAACCAAACAAGGAAAAGGAAAAAGGGTTGGGAGTTCGTTTCAGCCCAGCTTGGCCGGCTGACTGAGTTGGAGGCCCGTCTGGAGAGGCGCGAGGTTGAGAGAGAAAGCGAGAGGCGGAGAAGAGTCAGAGAAAGGGAGGAGATGGCGAGAGAGAGTGAGGAGAGAGAGATGATGAGGAGAGAGGAGGTTTTGGTGAGGGAGAGAGAGTGGGAAGAGAGAATGGAGAGAAAGAGGGAAGAGTGGAAGAAGAGAATGGATGAGATGTTGAGCAGGCATCGGGCTGAAATGGGCCAGATGCAGGCCCGTTTGCTTCACGAACAGCAGACCTTAGTGGGCCAGTTTATCGGGCTCGTGTCCCAGTGGGCCGGTGGGCTCACAGATCACCACACAGCAGACCCTCGTGCCCCAGTTTACCTTTCGCAGATGATGGTCCATGGTGATGCCAGGGTCGAGGGAGATAATCAGGAAGATCAGTTTATTGTTGACGGTTGATTGAATTAAGCAAGTGTTTTGCAGTTCGAGGTTAGGTCTCTGTAGAGCCTACAGCTTGTGTAGTTTTTTTATATGATGTATATTTTCTTCTATTACTCATTAGTATGGCATATGTACCTTGTTTTTGTTGGAACTGCCCAAATGGAAATCAATTTCCAAGTGTTTGCTACAAAAATGGGAGTTGAATTGTGTTTGAGCAGTGATGAGTTTGGTGGCTGAAAGTTGAATAAAGCTATTCTTTCTGAAAGGACTCATGTCTAGAGCTTATTTTGTTTGTGTTTAGTCAGTGTTTTTGCTGTGAGACGGTTGACATTTCATTGGTCATGAAGATTTGCAGACGTGTTGTAATTTCACTACTGAGTGTGCTGTAAGTTGTGCATTCAACTTTTGTATGCTTTTCTGTTGTTCCTTTCAACCCATTATATTTCAATTATGTTCAAGTCTAACATCATGCTTTTTGAGCTTCATCCTCTTAAATCATACTGAAATGATGAGCTTTTTACTATTCTGTGTCCAACATTAGAGCTGTTTAAGTCATCATTATTATTTCTGTTAGAAGTTGGTGACATCACGGCCTTTGTGAATTCAATTAGTTGTGCTTTGAGCCTTTCTGTGTCAACTTTCCTTATTCTTTTCCGGCTCTAATTGCCATTCTCTCCTAACTTGGGACAGTTGAAGCATAGAACCTTCTTTCCTTCGGACAATTGGATTCCCTCTTTGGAGTTCGTTGCTGTAGGTTCATTTTCTTGTCTGAGTCCATGTTGTGTTCTAGACAATTCAGGAAGTGCTTGATGAATAGGTTCAGCTCTTGATAGTGTTTTCATGTACATCATTACTTCTTTTTT